AAACTTGTATTAGTTTTACGATTTAACTGCTTTTGTTAGCATAACAAAAACATAGTTTGTTTACAAATAAAAATCTTATTTACCGCTAGCCGAATTAAGTCAAGTAGCCACTTCTTCAATTGTGTCGTCAAGTCGATAAATGACTTTTCAGTAGGTATTCAGTATTCACTATTTAACAATCTGACGCGATTGTGTCGTTCGGCTTAGAATAGCATCACCCCATTCCTACCCGTGGGTGTCGTAAAAGGCAACCAAGGGATGAATCCAGATAATGGGCAGTAGCGTTCCCTGTGAATATCCACAACACCTTGCATTGCGCATGCCAATTCGTCTGCCAAGCGTGGTGAGTACGGTAATGGTGTCAGAGTTTTTCAACCGCCTACTGCAAGTAACAGGCCTCTGGCATGGTTGTGTAACGACTGTCATCATAGTCAGCAACCGGGACCGACGGTTTAACGTGCACGGAACCATCTTACTTTTCGAACAATCAGGTGGTTCAGCCTGCAATATCCTAACCAGACTGGGAACAAATTTACAAAGTGATAAATATCAACTTTGTCAGTGACCCCACCGGGAATTGAACACGGGACCTACTGCGTGGTAGGTCATACTAACCACTGCACCACATCGGCAGTCAATTTCCTCCAATTCGGGGAGACCCATGTCCAGCAGTGGACTGTTGTGGTTGAAGTAGTAGTAGTGTCGTTCGTCTACCCAGAGTCCCATGTGACATGTGCGATGGATATTTTCTATTAGGTAACTGAACTTTTGATTATACTAGCTCAAGATAGTAACTGTTTAAAGCTAAGTCGAGTTAGGTATAATTTCGATGCTAAAATTATACCTGAAACCTGTTATGGAGTCGCCAAGTCTTCAGAACTTCTCAAACTTTGGGGTTTGGACCGAATATTATGGAAATTTATAATGCTACGACAGAAACAACATTATGACTTGGGCCTTTATAAGGCAAGAGTGAATAGGCACTATCTATCTAGGCAAGCATGTTCCAACAACTTCGTCTGCATCTAACAGGTGAATAGCAGGCAAATGTGGGTAAAATAATAAAAAAGAAAACTGACCGTATTTTGGCAGATTATGTACCCTAGCTAAGAATACAATAAAAATTTAAGTTTATTTATCCAGTTGGTATAATTTCAGGCAATCAGATGCATTGTGTTTGTGGCAGGGTAGAAAGGACTTTACGGACGAAGATAAACCTAAACTTTGCTGAATTATAGTAAGCGGGTTCTCAAGTGGAGGCCACGCGTCGACAAGCGTAGCGTTGGGCGATGACTTAAAGAGTGCGGCTGGTCGCGACTAAATAGCGTAAACGAGAGGTCGTGCCTTGTGGCGTACCCTGGGGGAGGCCTACGTCTAGCAGCGAACTGCTATAGTCTGATATGACATTGTGCGAATGGGGTTTTCACGAAAACTGGGAAAGTTTGAGCACCGCAGTTCTGTAACCTACTAGCAAGTAGCAACCAGTCCGCAATCAGGCCGCCTGTCTGTCTGTCTCGGTTTTACACAATGGGATTGTGCCTGCCTGCTCCCTGATGCCATTGACTCTATTTTTAAACGCTAGGCGAAATGGGGTCAGGAGATGATGGGGTATTATCTCAGTTCAGGGAACAGTCGAAAGCGTAGTTACTGTAATACTTTTATATAGTAAAACTATTTTATAAAACATGCATTTTGTATTGCCGCTTAAAATGGTTGAAGAAAATTGTAAATTTTAGTCGACAGACAGACTAACCCATCACTATGGTGGTCTTCTGCATGACTGATAAACTTTAAGCAGACGTGATGTAAATGGCCGTTTTTAAAGCAGTTTACGCTCTGCCTACCCCGCAAGGGATATAGACGTGATATAATGTACGTATTTTGTATTTTTATTAGTTTAAATTCTTTGTGATGCCGACTTAGCATTGCATCACCTCATTCATTTCCCGTGTATTTCGTAAGAGGCGACGACTTATGTATTTTGGTAGGTATATTGTAATTTTAGGCAACAGGCCTACAACCTGTCACTATTATGATGCATGTCTTTTCTGAAACGGCCTAAAAACATTCATTAGAAGAAGTAGCGATAACAACCGTTGTTACCACTCTACCTACCCAGCAAGTCACGCAAGCGCGGTGTGTGTGTATGTATGTGTATGATTAATTAATTTAAATTCATTGTTGCTGACATGAATAAAGAGCTTTTGTGCTGATTTGAATTCAATAACAGTCCCAAAAGCTTTTGTTTCAATTTGGATCCATATTCACACTGCAAATCGTATCAAATTATTAAACTCACCAGACCGTTAGACCAAACAGATTTATAATAATAGAAACAGGCGAGACAGGTATTCAAACATAAACATATTTTACATAATACCTTTGCCATGGGTATTATACACAACCAAAATGTATGTTTGTATCGTGAAATGGATAAAGGTGAAATACTGAACACGTGCGACGACCCTAAAAAGCTTTTCAATTCGATATTTATTATTTCATTAAGTGTGTAGTACCTACATTATTTCGATAAGAACAATAAGTAGAGAGTATAGATTGAAATTTTATTATTTGATTATTGCCACAAGGCCAAACATTTAGTAAGTAGGTAGTAATGGCCAAGATAGGGATCGTAATTTTTCTAAGAGGTCGGTCACAGTTCCAGTCATCACTTGAAACAGAGCGACAACGCTATATATTCAAGAGTCTTTTCAGAAATTGCATATTGACAGGTTTTCATCCTAAAAATTACGGCCGATGTGCTGCGAAGCTAATGGTTCCGGGTTCGATTCTCGGTGGGTCACTCACAAAGTTGATTTCTATCACTTTTTGAATGTGTTCCCAGTCTGACTAGGACACAATAGGATTGTGGGCCGAACCACCTGATTTTCCGGAAAGATGGTTATGTGCTTTGTTCCGTCGGTTTCGGATACTGTCTATGATTATAAACCAGGGTTCATCGGATCGTTCGACGACTCGGTGTCCCACTCGAAGAGAGATCCCAAAATATATTGTATTACATAATTGAAAGATTTAGAACATTTTATTCTAATTCTAAACCAGCAAGCCAGCGCCACATTCTGACACTGACAAATGACCCCCAGCTTTTGCTATACTAATGGTAGCTACCGACCCGCGATAGAAATGTCAAACGCGAGCTCCCAGTCACCTTGACCTCCAGACGGACCCTCGGTGAAGAGAAGAAAGTTCGTTTACAATGTTGCGAGTATAATATGATGGAGATTTATTAACCCTACTTGTTCCGAAGAATATTACAAGTGATTAAGGGATGAATAGGTACCGGGAACAGGCGGCAGCGTTCCCTATGAATACACCACCCTAAACGTTTTCTTTTCGTATAAAACGGTTTAGATTATATCCATATCTCCGACTGCCTGTTCTTTTTACACCTTGCATAGTGCTCGCCCTACCGCCAGTCAAACGTGGTCAGTATTTGCAAACACTTGGGGAAGATACATCCCAACCAGTCAACCAGTGGCAAAGGGTCCATACATGCCGATTCCCATTAGCTTACCTTTCACATTTAGTTATTTTTTACGATATTTTGGTACGGCCAGTACGGCCTACCTTCGTTAAAATGTCAACCTTTGCCACTGATCTCAGCAGTGGACTGTTGCCATGGCTCTTAACAAAATGATATACATGTTTTTGTTAGAATTACCACGTTAACGATACTGTTACTGATGTATTTCGCTCAAAGGCATCCCAATTTCTAATTAAAACCTTACTTTGACGGCGGAAAGATACCATATTTATTACCATTACGTTTTTTTTTCGTGCTGCCTGTTGCTAAGTCGACTTTTTTAGGAATACTAAATAACAGGCGTAAAATAATTAATTGACATGACAATTTCAATTATCGATTGGACGTGCGAAAAGTTATCTACCTATGCTACAATCACAACCAAAGTTTTTAACGATAAAAAATACTTATTGGAAACGCTAACTTATCATATCACGTATAAAAGCAAAAAGTGTTCAAAGAAGTTCTTTGATAAATGAATAAAGTTTTAAGGACGCAATATTTCCAAGTTCTAAGTTCGATTAAGAAACGATCGCATTTACTCCTTAAAGCTTCAACAGTCACAACAGTCCACTGCTGGTCTACTGGACATAGGCCTAACCCAATTGTCACGGGAGCATTTGCCATACTCACTATGTACTTGGCAGGCGCATTGGCAACCGAATTTCAATATGTTTATCACAGGCAACGCTGCTGCCCAATCCTTGGATTCAAAGTCGCCTTTCACGAAACCATTATTACGAAACCTTTCATAAACCTGTACTATTATGTATTCTGTGACGAAACCCACGGGTAGAAATGGAGTGATGCTATTCTAAGCAGGCACGAAACGGAATAACTTACCATTTCACGTATAACTCAAAGAAAAAGTGTTTTACTTAGTCAGCATCTAAGCTGAAGCTGTGAGTGCCGAAGTACCTTCTACCAATCCCAAAAAGTGTTTTAGTTTGATAAATGATGGAAGTTTTTAAGTAAGCAGTTTAGCCACGTCGTAGTTCGTACTACCTAAGTAATATATCTTACTTAGTTTCGTTGGAAAGTTCCAAATATTTCTCATGCAAACATGGTAACTAAAGTATAGCTAACTGTACAATTTTCATGTAACTTGACACAAGGTGAATGAATTAAGAAGCGTAATTCGAGTATGTTTTCTGCTAAATAGTGCGTGAAGTTCTTGTTTGGAACACGACGCGTGTAAAGAAATGTTTTATTATTTCATTTTTGAGTAACTGAGTAGAACTATAAGTTTACCCGTGATCATGGCGATTGCAACATCGTCGAAATATAGGGAGCTCGATATAACCCTACTGTAAGTTAAAACCCGTTATAATGTCTTATAATTTTAGTAATAATAACCACGGAACCTTAAAATCAAGTGAGTAGGAACTGTTTGCTAGTCGAAAACGATCGATATTATTTTGTGTAATAAATAAAAATAGGAAATTGAGAAAAATGTTAGCGTCTAGGCTTGAACCCAGGACCGTGGGGTACCGTCCCAATGCTCTGCCAACTGAGCTACCGCCGCCTAGCCGAACCTCAAGTCAACCTTACGAAATTTACGAACGGTTGACGTGAGTTACGGTCGACCTTACTCAAAGAGCCAAAATAAGTCATATCTGACAGCTTTTAAACACATACTACCCGTGGGTGTTTGCCGTGTGATGCCGGATTAGAATAGCATCACCCCAATTCTACCCGTGGGTGTCGTAAAAAGCGACAAAGGGATAATTATCCAGGGAATGGGCAGCAGCGTTTCCTGTGAATTAAACATCTTGCACTGCGTTCGCCAATTCGTCTGCGAAGCGTGGTAAGTATGGCAATACCCCCAATACGGGGGAGGCCCATGTCCAGCAGTGGACTGTTGTGGCTGCAAAGTAAACCCATACTAAAAGACATGTAAACAAAGAAAAATAGACCTTATGTTCTAACAGTAGCATGATTTTGTTGACAGCTGTCAAATATGACCTATTCGAACGGTCATACTGTAACAAATTTTATCTAAGCTAAGCTTAACCTTTACACCATGACATCACATCTTTATTGATCTAGCTTGCGAGATTAAGTAATGTACAAAAATAAATAAAACGGTCTGACTTCATCAAGTGGTTTATCGCATATTCATGCAGAAATTTTAATTCAATTACCATATGTCGAAGGAATTTAAAATACAGGCTGAAGAATTTATATTCACCAGCGAAATAAATTATTTACAAGATGTTTTTAAATTAATTATGCTACTCTGAATATGATATGATCTGGAAAAAGCCTGATATGAAATGCTATAAACTTGTAAACCAGAGATCTTATTCTAGTAAGTAAGTCTAGCAAGTAGGAAAGAGACTAGTGTTGGAAAAGAGACACCAATACAAACATTTGAGTAATAGGTATAATCTGATTCATAAAAGAACGGGACCAGAAATGGCAACATTACGTGCAAACTCTATCAATATTTCTTTACTTCAAAGTTATAATTTAAAATACCATAACAGAATGCAGAGCAGAACTCAGTTTTGTATCCTTTTTGATCAAAGTTAATAATTTTTATCAACATCCTATATTTTGTGATGAGTTCTATTAAGCTCCTAAAAGCTTTTTGTTAGTCAACAAATCTGATTTGTTAGCCTTTTTGTAACAGGATGCACATGATATTTTTTGCTTTTTATCCATAACTTTGGATTGAGTGTTTATTAATTAAGTTTACAGTTTTCATCATACTATGAATATTGAGTGTGGTCTTCTCAAGCTCTTCTCTTCAAGTGTAAAATATTTAGTTTATTTTTGTTTATATCTAGAAGTAGGTACTTTAATTCCTATCATTTTGCTTTTAGTCTGCAGACTGAGACGGCAGGAAAATTATTAGAAAAGAAAAGGTTTTATGCTTAATAAAGGCCTATTTAATATACTTCTCAGTAATGTGGCATAGTGACCTAAACTAAGCATTCTAGAAAATGCAAAATGTGGGCCGCTTAGTACAGAAGTTTTTAATAAGCATGCGAAATGCCTAGTTTATATTCTAATAGTCTTTTTCATTTAGCATTCTTGACAATACAGGAATAGTCAAGTAAGCAATGATCTGATCACATTACAGCTTGCATCTTAAGTTGGAATGTGTATGCTAGATGCTAATTATGCTAAATATGTGGTGATGATAATAAAATTGATGATTGATTGTTTAATATTTAAATGTACAACATTTCTCGGTCAGTGAGTCAAGTTCTTTTTGAGTGTGTTTTATTTCTTTTAAAGTTTTTGGAACTATGAAAAATATACTCTGATCCTGATTGATCACACACTTTTTATTTTCTTTGTTAAGGTCCACTTTTGTAAGCTGGACTGATGGACAAAGGCTAAAATGTACCTTCTGATCTGCGATAAACTAATATTTAAATTTGGGTTTGACAAATATTTTGTAAGATCTACATGCATTTCCTGATTTTTTCGTGCTCCTGCTGGAATCTTGAAGGACTTGAAGAGAACAGGATATCGATGACATGGTTTGTTACGAAACAGCTAGGTACTTCAGCGAAAACATTCCACCAATTTTCGCGATGAAACCGCGGAGATATCGTGCGAAACTTCCCATGCACTGATAAAGACGGTAATACGTTCAAAACGAGCGGTTTATCAGGCCGATTTCATACAAAGTGGCACGACGAACTCGCAACGCTAAAGTAGGCTAGACTTTTTGAAATTGGAAGAGTATGAAGACTGATGGAGACTTACCTTCATATCGGAGACGATCTGCTGGTACAGGCTCCATAGCGGCGAGCAATCCTTCTCCGTAGTCCCTTCCATCGTCGAATATCAACACAAAACAGCTCCGAACACAAACTATCACCACTTCACCGAACGCGCCATTTTTTCACATCTGTTGCTCACCACGGTTTTCGTATTAAATTTCCGTTTAGACACACACTGTAATCTACATTTCTTTTCACGTTTAGAAGGCACAATAGAAAAGTTAGAGAACACGATATGCAACAAATCAATATTTATAAACACGAGTACCCTCCATCCATTAGACCTCGCGAGGGGGAGATTAGGATGCCGTACTATCACTGAATTTCACTGCGAAGATTAGTAGAAATTAGCTAGCACATTTATAAGGGACGAACGAACGTACATCCATCGAAGGAAAAGCATTTTCTGCACTTTTTCATTCACAAAACACACGATACAAATTGATCGAAAGACGCGGAGCCTCGTTTCGACATGCACTCTGCATCGGCCGGAATCGGTTTGTTTGGCGTTTTGCTGTCTGTCGCTATTCGTCAATTTTATTCGTGGGCTGCCAGTTTTTAGTAAAATAACAAAAGCTGCCTTTTTTCAGACACTACATTAGAATGAAATTGCGTTTCTCCTCTATACAAGAGATACAAATAAAGCCACATAATGCCATTTTGCCCGAGACTTATGTTTTGCTGCCACGGGCACATATAAATAATTTTTACACGAGCGAGAATCTTGTATCTCGCAGGACATTAACAAAACTGTGACCCAGAACCAGAATTAACATTTCCAAATTTTTGGAGACTATTCTAATGAGAAATGGCAACATTGAAATGTTCGTCACTAGTGTTGTGGTATGTACAAATAACATCGACTACGGAAATATGAATTAGCGTAAGGGACAAAATGCAATTTTTCAGGAGAGCCAAAAAACGATTGCAATTTTTTAAAATTCTTTATATCTTTTTTGTTTCTTGTCCGATCCAAATGACTTCTATGGCAAAATTCCTTAGAATTTTGAGTTCTTTATGCTAAATCTATCATCATCTGGAATATCCCTGTAGTTTAGGAATTGGCATGTCCCTTACGTTAATTTTTCCTGCAAGAACCGCCGAAAATTTTGAAAAAAATTAATGTAACGTACATTTCATCATCGAACACGAGGTAAATTTGCAGTGAAGGACACCGCGTCTATAGGTTTTCATGATAAGTTTGCCACAAAACTTTATTATAACCAATTGTTTTCAAATGAAATACACTTAGAAATGCGTTTAATTTCATAATCAATACTTTATTGTAAGAAACATAAGAATAAAAAGCGTTAGAAAACTTTTAAAACGATAAAAAATTACGTTTTTAGCAAAAAAAAAACAAACAGGAACTTTTTATTTAATCATTGACAGTAAAATACATCTTCAAAATTTAAACTACGTTGAAATTTTTGTTAATCATACAAAATTATAGTAAGTTAATAAAAACAATGGACGCACAAAACATGAAGGCGTAATTTTTTATGAAAACGATTGGTGACTACTCTCGAGAACAGCTTATAGACGTGGTCCAGAAGTAAAATCGACCTTATAGTTTCTGGGGAACGTTTCTTACTGAGAAACGTTTCGTCTCTTTTCGTGGAGTGAAGTAACCACGCCTCTGAGGTTTTGCCACTAGTTATTACCGAGTTGAACAGCCATTTCATGACACCGGCCTTAAGCAGCATAGGGCCCACTCTTCCCTGAACCCTTTGTATTCTTAAGCTGTCTAAGAGTAAGGTGGTGGAAGAGAACAATGGAGTCTCTCTCGTCAGATAGAGGTCTGGGTGCATGCGACGCATGAGACTTTCATAGAAATCCTCGACTACAGCAAGAATCTCTCGACCTGAGGTGACGGTTTTACCATTTGAAGAATTTAGATGACTCATTTTCAGTACCTTGCTATGATCCCCGATTTGCTCGATCGAGTCATAATATAATGAGTTGAGTATACTATTTCAGCTTCTCATCACGCCAATTTATGTATTAATTTTTAAAGTATTCTAATAATTTATAATGTTTTTGTAATAAAAAAAAACATTTTGACGAACAAAACGACAAATTCTAAAAAAACTATATCTTTGTGTTTTGCGCAATATAGTATTGTTATTAACATACTTTTCATTTACAATCCTTAATATTTAAAAACATTAATATCCCAATATGAACATGTTTTTAGTCACCCAAACATAGTGACACCGTATTCAACAAGCAATTTTGCAATGGTCATCGAACACTAATTCTGATACTACACTAAATTTAAGCGGTTTGCCTGTAAGCAGCGAGAAGATTTGTGCGTTTTCTTCTGGCGGATAACATTTAATTTGTGTTCATTATAGTAACGGTCAGAAATTTTAAATTTTCATTGATTTTGTATGAAATTCCATACAAAATCAATGAAAATTTAAAATTTAGAATGAATGCAATAAAAATGAGATAGCATGGTTTTTGTGTTACTAACCATTCATTTTGTTGTTTATGTTTATTTAATTGACATGACGCGTGTCTTTATAAATTTGCATTGAAAAAAAATAAGTAAAATACAGTACAAGTATATTTTAATAATTAAATAGCCTCAAAACTTTGAAAAAACTATGTCTTTTGCTGCAATTTTACCTCATTTTTTGTCAAGAAATGTACGTTACATTAACATTTTTCAAACCATTTGATAATGTCATGTACGTTACTTTAACTTCTTTCCAAAAAAATTGTTACTTTGTGCCTTACATTAATTTCTATTTTCTTGGTCGATTTAAATATCATAC